TGATCTGGGTAGCAAGGATGGGCCTCCCGCCCAATCCATCTTCTGTAAAAGGTCATCAAAGAATACGAGATGGTACCAATGAGGTGATGCACCATCTTGTTGCAAAACGACAGTGGGATGACGCTCTTCTAGTTGTGGAAATACAAAGTTTTCCAACATGTCTAAGTATACGACTGATGAGACCGTCTTCTGTAAAAATGAAAGGCCCAATGACTCGGTCGTGCATTAGTCACACCACATAAAACTTTGGGGAACCCTTTGTGCCTCAGGTATTCTGGGGTTTTCGATCCCCATATGCACATATGGTGTACAATGTCAGAAAGATGAAGATGCTTCGGAGAACATTATGAGCTTCAGAAATCAGCTCATCTATTCTTCTTGTTATCGTGCAGAAAGTACCCTTTAATGGGAAAATGAATTATTGAAATTAACCCGCGCAGACGATATTTCAAAAGTAAAAATATTCAAACTGAAAGAAATATATAGTTTCTATCAATGCCCATAAGTTGTTTATATCTTCATTAGTTTATGAGTTATTAAACATCAAAATGGGTCCGGGACTTTATAATCACCCTGTATTATTTCTCTATAGTGTTATGAAAACGTTACAAAGTGAAAGACCACGAGACATAATGGCGATTTTTTGCCATAAACATAATGCCATAAAATGCATAATATGCATATTTTTTCAAGATAGTGGTAATTCAACAAACAACATTAGAATCACTAGCAGAGCTTAAACAGGCTGCTAAGCACCATCTCGAAGTGGACTAGCTGCTCTGTCAGTGAATAAATAGGACCTTTTTATAGAAAAGAAAGAGGTGAGAATCTTAAAAAACTTTCGTGGATCTCTTGAACGATTTATTTGCAAATGTAGATATGGCAGAATTTGATTTTGCAGAGGTTCATGGTGGAACATCCAGAGAAAACACGAGCTTCGGTTTTACTGTCAATGATACTGGTACTTGGCCTTCCAATTTAACTTTTAGAATTATTGAACTTTTAATTGAGACGGAACTTGTAAGTGAAAATTTAAATTTCCTACTAGCGAAACGTAGACAATGCAGTTATTCGTGCTTTTAAAAGGTATTGGAAAATGGTAAAAAATTAAAACGAACTTGGCTTTTATATTCTGTTTCATTAGAGGCCGTCTTTTGCTTTCCATGTAAATTAATCGGAGGATCCGAAAGAGAAAATATTCACTTTATTAATCTTGGTTATAAGGACTAGCGTCTTTGCTTTGACTATTTTTCTATATACGAGAGTAGTGCGAAACATGAAATGTGTTAAATTTTATTGAGAGCTGAAAATATGGCTAAGCAAAAATAGCACAATAGATACAGAACAACAAAATTTCTTCTCACTGGAAAAGAAACGATGGGTAAAACTTATCGAATAAATGATTGTTATTGTGCAATTTTTGGCTATCGATAACTTAGCCTTTAAAAGTAATAGTTCAGGCCTATACGAAACAAGCAGGGAAACTTTTAAAAGCGGTGTAAATAATAGTCAAATTCGATACTTATCTTATTTGAACACATAAATAACGTCCAAAAATCTACGGATAAAAATACCCGCATATCCCATTATGTAGGTCAACAGTTTCAAAACGAACTGTATTGCACTTTTAGCTGATTCTACTAAAAAGCAGATTAAGAAAATAATACAAAATTCTGAACATTTTTCGGCCATAATAGACTGTACACTGGACATCAGCCAGATTGAATAAATTATATTTACTTTTATAATGCGATATTTAAACATGTGAAACTTCAAATCAGCTATTTCCGAATATTTTGTGGGATTTTAGCGGATTAAGGATATTACAGGAGGAGGTTTATTCACTTTTTATTAGAATATATACTACTTTCTAGTTTAAATCTAGATGTTCAAAATATTCGGGGCCAAAGATATGATAATGGAGCCAACATGCGCGGAAAAAATATAGGTCCGCAGAAAAGACTATTAGATGTTAAAGAAAATTTCGCAACTGGTTTCTTTAAAATATCCAATCTCTTTGTTGAGCTGTTAAGCGATACTCGCCGGGAAAATCGAATGAATGCATTGCGACCATTGCAAGCCAGATCTTAAAAACATATTCGTTGCACTAAGTCAACTTTCCCAAAAAGCAAAGGATCTGTATAACTAGACTAAAAGCTAAATCTTATCGAAAACAATTTGTTTACATAAACTTATACGTTCATTAATAATTCATTAATAATTTGGCACGATTTGCTAGAAAGAATAAATATTGTATTGATTTAGCAGAACGTGTCGAAGTGCTAAGAAATTTAAAAGCATATTTAATGGGCGAAAGCTTTTAGCATATTCATCAATCAATCGTCCATTTTAGCACAGGAAATTGAAGTAGAATTGCTGAAATTCGTAAAAGAAAAAGCCTCATATGTTTCAGTGCGAATCACATGATGACTATGTTACAGAACCTAATCAAAATTTTAAAGTTGATTTATACTTTCAAGTTTTATATATTGCCGGCAATTCTGTAGGTGAACCTTTCGATTTGTTGGAAATCCATTTCTCATTCTTCAGTATTTTACTAATGTTTTATTCAGAAGGTAACAATAATTTTAAAAAAGAGTTGCATGGATTTAGACATTAAATTTCAAATATGTATGAAAAATTAGAAAGGGATTTAAACTGTATGTAATCGCACAATGAACTACTATAATTTCCAGATCTATTTTCCAACATTTTCCAGTTAAAGCCAAAGTTTCAAATCATATATTAAGTCAAGATTTCACACTATTATACGACAATTTCTCTACAGCACTTAGAATTTTTTGATAATATCAGTGTTGCTTTAGGTAAAAAAAGGTTTTTAAAATTATGTTCGATTATAAATTATTTAAGTTCAACAATCTCACAAAAAAGGCTTTTTAATATGGCTATTAATTCTACTGAACGTGATATCTGTGAAGCGCTAGTCTTTCCAAGTATTATAAATATATTCGCTTGTAAGAAAATTTAAAAAATTTTGTTAGAAATTTTTGAAAGATCAGAAGACATTTAGTTATCTGTTTTACTTTTTTAGTCTTATGCTAAGTTTTCTACATTACTTTTAAGATATAAAAACAATTAGCTTAACAAATAAAAATTTTAAATAGCCGTCTTGTTATTTATTTATTAATATCGTCTTATTACTGATTATAAGACTATGTATTGTAAATGTAGATTGCATTTTTCTAAAAATATAATACGTATTTTAACATATTTCTGTCTTTGATTTTTATCTACCTATATTTATATGATTTTTCCAAGTGTTTGAAAATAATTAATTTAAAAATTTAAACCATAAGGTTTGTAAAAAGGGCGGCCAAGTTTTATTTGCATGTGGATGAGCGACGGTCTAGGATCGGCACTGCTTCTGGCAAAGTTCAGACATTTTTATAAATTCTGTATAATATTGTATGCAGACTTTGAAAACGATTGTGAGACTAAATATCGCTTGAATGTTCTGTCATAAATTCACAGTTTCCTAACTTATCAGACAACGTAGGCCTTCAAATTACGCTAGTTTTGGTCACAGGATGTTCGTAAAAAAAAAAAAAAAAAAAAAAAAAAAAAATCTGAAATGTTTCAGATTTTAAATTACGTCCAAAGGGGCGTTTTTTAACATTTTGTGTGTTACCTTTCTTTATTAAATATCATGTTCCTCGCACTTAAACCATAAGATTCCAGTGCAACAGCAATATCGCAAAATAGTTTTAAAACGAGCATATCTTTAGAATTTCCGATACAGAGACTCACGCGCTGGAGATAAAAATGTTTTTTCTGCACAACGTTGCCATTGCTCGCTTTGAAATCCTTGAGTTTGTTAATCAAAAATTCGTCAAAGTTTTAAAAAAAAGGAAATCGATCATAAAACAAATTTCAAATTTGGTCTTCCACATGCTCATATTCGTTGGAGGATTACGTTATTCAAAATTCGATGACTCTATGTACCGTTGTTTTATCACAATACGAGAAATATACATACATTTATGCAGATTTTTCATTATTTAATTTCTTCAAATATAATGCAGGACTCTAACATTTTGTGGCAACAGTTTGAAAAGTGAACCGACATTTATGAGTCCGACCAAAATGCCAAAACGAAACTAATAGTCCTTCGGGATTCAAATCCCTTTGGACTAAAAAAAAAAAAAAAAAAATGAGAAGAACTTTATTCAGACGAATTATACATATAAAATAGTTCCAAGCTCGCATTACTATTCCAAACTATCGTATATAAATACTCTTCAACATAATTACGTAAAATAATAACTGTAAATTACTAAATGGTGTTTTTTACATTAAAAACGTATTAATTGTAAAAATGCTAAAATTCTAAATTTTTTAATTAATGTGTTTTATTTCATAAGACATCCAAATCGGCGCTTTTTTATGATTTAAATTATATGAATAATTTTACAACTCTTTTAGATTTTCATTATTATGAGACACATTCTTCTGTTTTGGTTTATGTGATTATGGCAAAGCTTTCGAGGCTATCTGCCTAAGGGAAGGCATGCCTTCGTGGAGGACATTCTAAGGGAAACTGGATCGTATACGCGTACATGGGGAAAATCTCGAAAACGCCCATGCAGCCAGCCAGCCCGTTTCGCAGTATTCAGCCATTCAGTACCCTTCGGCCATTGGTGGGCCGATTCTTCTCGTAAAATATTTTTACTGGAATAAGAAACAACTTATTAATCTCAACTTTCTTTTAGAAGATAATATAATCATTTAAATTTCGAATATTTCTAATCAAAGCTAGTGATTTATACATCACTTTGGTTCATGAATTTTACATGACCAAAATGTTGACACCTAAATACTTTCCTTATTTGATTCATTAAATTAAAACCGGGAGTTTAAAACCAATTGCTGATGAGATCGTGAAACCATTTTGAAATATCCTGTGTATGCATATATACTATAAATACTTGAAGGATCACATTTGTATTAAGCAGTTTCTAGAAATTGAGGTTTATACTTACTCAGGCACTCTTCTTCTGCATTCGAGCACAAAATGCATGCTGATAAAACTGAAATAAAAATCGTAATGTTAATAAACAACAGCTTAAACATCATTAATTTATTTATATATTTTACATTATTTACATAAAAGAAACGTCCATATGGTGTACAAATGTTACAGCTATTAGTAAATTACAAGATGCAATCCTTCTTTGATGTAATTTCAATAGAAATAAAGCTCTATTTAAAGGAAAAATTTATCTTATGCAGCAATTAGTCACTTCAGTGAAGAACAATTATATCTTTCCCTAAAATGCATCGAACAACTTTTGTTATGTAAATTAAGCTAACATTCACCAAGAATTTCGAAAATTACCTCTACTTATAATTAAAGCAAATGATTCTCGGATATTTTCACAATACTCTTGGTTTTATAAATTTACAGCAACAGCTTCTCACTTAACAATGATATTATTAAGAAAACAATTATATGTAACATCATGACATTAATATAAATCTGCTAACATTTCCGGAAGCTTGTACTAGAACTAAATTGTGTAACAATATAACAAAGACAATCCTATCTCCATAAGGATTGGTATCTATGTGGAATTAAAAGAATTCGTAGCTGAGAGAAAATCAAAAATTACTCTACTTTTGTATTAAAATTCTTATAGTGCTCAATAGATAAAATTATTTTCCCGATTATCTTAAATATACGAGAGCTTAGTTTGATAATTTCCTTGCTTTGGTTTACTTTTACTTATTATAAATTTGTTGCACGATTCTCATGATCTGGAATTCAATCCTGTATGTGTCAATGTTGAGTGAATTAATGAGCTTGTTAATACACGGTTAAAGAAATGAAATTAAATGCAACACATCAGTGGCATTATACGTGAAAATCAAATTATTTAATTTCCAATTCGAAATAAATGATTATCATAAAAATTCAGTAAAATACGGTAGCTATTTTATTTTAATAGGATGCACGGCTTACTTAAAGCAATAGTGTTTTATTGCCTATTTCAAACCCATCGAGTAAAAGCCCTAAATTGCCTTATAAATTATTTTTTCTAACGTTTCGCTCCTTTTATTTAATGTGATGTAATCAAATAATAAATATAAATAAGAACAGTTAATAAGAGTCATCATGAAAGATAACAAACAGATTGTGAGGCAGCCTTCAGATTACCATTCTGTATCTGGTATTTAATATATAAATCTATAATTTACCATAATTCTGTAATTCCCTCACTAAAACAAGAAGAGTAAGCATAAAGTCCCTGAAAGAATGCCATTTCAAGGATCTCGCACTGACTGGTTGTAGCTGTCATTTTTATTTAGACAGATATTATTGCAATGGAAATAAAACATACATAAAATTTAACACGTATAATTTTAAGTTCTTAAATTTCATAAAACAGCAAAATGACACAAGTGGTTCGATAAATCCTATTTATAAATTTTGCTTATAAAGTTTTTTTGATAATGAGAGGAATAAACTGCTCTTATTTTCATTTGCATAGTTCATGTATCCTGCATTTTCTGAGGCAGACAGAGATGAAAAACGAGTTTCATTAGAGTACCAAGTTTTTGAATAAAATTCTTGGCAAATTACGATATTCCTTTTCAATCTGGTCTAAAAAAGATAAACGTCGTTTTAGAAATGAATGCTTTTTAAACTACCGAGACAGTCTATCATTACCTCTTCTTCGCTGTGAATAAATGGGAGCTTAAGCTTTTCAAGGTTAAATATGGAAAAGAATTAAAATCATTCATGCGTTTCACCAAGTAATATAAATGTTTGCTACATACAAGTCTTATATTTCCAAATAATTTACATTCAGTTTTAAAAATAAATTGGAAAAAATACTTTAAATTAAATTGAAAGAAAACATTTAAAAATTATTACTACATCAATTAGTAAAAGAAAAATTAGTTACCGAAGTCTTTTCTTTTTTGTTTCGCACAAGCTATCATTGTGCTCGGCACTACATATTGTAATAAACTATGTAGATACAATGTTTCAGATTATTATCAGAAAGAAAATACTCTTTTAAAAGATATATCCGCTAATTTGAAATAATTCTGACAATTTACAAAATGTAACTCAAGTTCTTAGTGCATTTGAATCTGACCAATTGTGGCCTTTATATTAAGTTTCACTGATGAAATATTAATTTACTTTAATTTTCTCCTTTCTGCCTTTTTTCGGCACGAAGTTCGTTCATTACGGAATTAAGCTAGATTTTGACTACTAAGCCGTTTTACTATAATTTTACGAATAAGAATGTGAGAATTTCTGTCTGCTTTCCCTGCCCAGGCGATAGAAGAAAAGACTGTTCTTGCTGAGATTACTTTTAGGCCGAAATCAGATCCACCTTTGTAAGCGTGTGTTCGAAACTCTGTAGTGATCTACGTAAGTTTTGTAAGTCGTTGAAAGATTTTAAATGCTGGATTTATATCCTTCGTTGTAAAAAGAAGCTTAGTGTTGAAACTAGGTCCAAAATCATTCACAAGAGGTGAGGTAGAATATAATTAAGAGTTTTAATTATGTGTTTGTTTGTTTGATTATCATCTATTCTTGTGGGGATAATTCACGACCCAGAACAAACTGAATACCTTAGTTTTACGGTAATTGATATCACAAAGTTAGCTGGAACCCACTTCAGGTACTGTGCAATTACTGAAGTTAGCACACAGCATTGTTAATAAACAAGAGCTTTGAATAACAGCACACTCTTTCGCTAATTCAATTAGTTAGGAACTAGAGAGCTGTCGACGAAGGAATTATTTGAATTAAATAACTACTTTCTACCCTGAAATTTCACGTCCTGAATTATCCTGAAATCTGATCTCTCATTAGCGTAAAATTAGACAATACGTGAAAACATAATAAAACATAACTTGCATTCACAAACTTATCTTTAAATTTATTCAATATGATGAACAAGGTTGAGACAGTGACGTATGAGTTAAATATAGCTTATAAAGAAAATACAACCATTCATATATGAATTTCTCTCTGAATAGTTTATACTATCAGGAAATAATCCTTCCAACAATATTTATTTTCATATAAATAATGACATTCCCTAACACATAATGAATAAATTGCGTTTAATTAATTTACTTTTTTTAATTATAAAATTAACATCAATGTAAATATAAAAATATAAATAAGTACACATTGAAAGGCATATAAGCGATGTCATACGCGAATTTTTATTCACGTTATTAGTTTATTGCACACATGCAGGAAACCGATAGTACCGTTTGCTGCTTGTTGATCATGTTCTACTTTACATTCAGGTGGGAATAGTCTATTTTTATAAAACAAATTTCATAATGAAATTGGTCAATTAATACGCAATAAATTAATTAACTCTCCTTAATAAAAGTCAGTAAAAATCTTGTCACTTTATCAGTCTCTATTAAACTAATAGATTTGAATGCAATTTATTTTCATTAAATATATTTTACCGTGAATAAATACCTTAAAACTACTCAATAATAGTTCCTAAACGGCAGATAAATATTTCTTATTAATAGATTAGTTAATTAGTACTGGTATTTTATTATTTTTGCAGTCTTAAATGAACAGGTCGAAGCACAAGATGGCTATCTACCTAAAGGGAAGGATATCCTCAAAGGGCACTTAAAGAAAAGAGGCTCATTTTTACGTTACACAGAGAAAACCATGAAACCTTTTAAACAGCCCGCTACTCTTCAGCTATCTTATCTATTTGGTCGTTGGTAAAATTAAAATCTCATACCTCAGTTCAACGAAGAGAAGAATATCCGGATTGGCACACAGTAGTACAGACTCACCTCTTTCTCATTCACAAAGCATGCATATCCCTTACCACTATGCCCGATATAGTGCAGTTAAAAAGGTATTAAAATAAAATGCAATGATTTGAACAGCTGTGCAATCATAGCAGTGGGTTTGTATTTGGAGCATCAAAAGATAGGATATATGCGAATCTTGACTGTGGAGTAGAGTAAAAACCTTGATGGAGTATACAAATAGTTTATTAACGGTGCTTTTCCATATCTATATGTAATAATAAAATTCCATAGTCAACAATACACTTAAAATTCTAACTGTATGTTCTTTTCATTTTTAATGGCGACGGTCTCTTTGAAAGTACGTGGAATTAAATCCACAGCCCCGTAGTCAAGTTGTTTTTCCCGCCTTTTCTACACCTACAGTTATAGAATGTTCTGGAGATATTTAAAGCGAACTGTAATGGCTGACCAGGCTGACGTCATTTCTTGAAAGCTCCGCCTTTTCAGAGGCTATAAAAGGGCTCACAAAGGAATATCGGGGTCTTTTCTTTAATGTAACGACGCAGTAAACTTCATACAAAAAGTTATTAGTAGTTCTTTTACTTACTCCGGAGATATGATTTTAGTAACTGCTATTTCTCTTGAATAATAATAAATGGATCCTGTTTTTTAAACTTATCGTCTGATAATTTGAGCTTCGACTACATCTATGATTCTTCCCCAATCTATTTATTCCGGACAAAAGCTGGTACATCATGAAATGAACTTCGTATATATATATATATATATATATATATATATACGAAGTTCATTTTATGAAGACAGAACATTTCAAAAAACATAGAAATCTCCATAAAGGTTCCAGCATTTTTATGAAAATCAATTTCTAACCTGTAAAAAGCAATTTTCGTAAAGGTGAGGACAAATTTATGCTGATGCATTGCCATGCGGAAAGAGTTTGTGCTTGCATTCATACTTAGAGGTATGAATTTATGAGAATTTGTCTTTTTGATCATTGGAGAACTTTCCTAAAAGTGCCGGAACTTTTCCAACAGAGTATAGCTAAGAAGGTGTCCGTAGTCAAATCTTGATCACCGTTGCTAATAATCCATTAGATGTACTATATACCAAATCGGAGAAAGGGAGTATGTAATTCTGTTTCAAGATCCAGCCCAACACTTAATTACTGGCGCAGATAAGACCTGATTACTTGCCAGCCACAGCGATGTAACACTCTTAAATTTAAACAGTCATAAAGCAGGGAAGAAGCTTA